TTGTATGCATGCAAATTTGTATGTTTTAGTAGATGTATATTATTCTGCTAAAGTCTTTATCAAGAAAATCTAATTTACTAAGCAGGACTAAGAGTGATTAGATTATGGAAATTTAACATTTATACAGGTGGTAATTTGTATTACATAAAATCACACTGAAACTTACTGAGGCCTAATATTGGAAGTGACATAAGCAGGATATAATAAATCTTGAGTTTGAATGCAAACAAGATCTAATCTTCTTTTAATAAGTTTTCAGTCTTGCTCTAGTATGCCATATACCGGTAGTTAAAATTCATAAATAAAATATTATATTTTCAAAATTATTTAGTATGCTTCACACTAAGCAAACATACATCAAGATAGAAGATCAACATGGGGGACCAGAGTTTAACAGCACTCGGAGCTTCAGCAATTGAAAAAAGTGTGGTACAAAATAGAATGTTTTAAAATCGTGAGAGAAATATAAAAATATGAATTGTACAAAATAAAGTTGAAACACTTTGTGAACTAAGCATCTGAGAGGATTAAGAATGGAAATACAAAAGATACTAAGAATGTGTCAGACGAGAGAGGCAACAGAGAAACAAATGTTTTAAATAGTAAAACAAATAATGTTTTTGTGACAGTATATGGCAGTACTGTACATACAAATAAAGAAAAGAGAGTAAAGAAATAAGGTTAATATATACTGCCTAATGATAGACATAAGAGAGTTACGAAGAGTTTCATTAGCTGCCTACAAGAATGTATGGTAATAATAAGGAGAAAACACTGACCAAGTATGACTATGTAGCATTTGGAAGGGATATGAGAACAATATAGGAGCTGGGATAGGAGGACAGAAGTGAAATTTATATATGGTAAGTGGCATAGATGCAAGTCACATTTGTACACAAGATGGTTCACCATTGAATATTAACTCTTGCCTAACCTTACCCTAGCAGCGCTAACCCAATTGAGCCTAATACAGCCTAATCTAAACTAATACATTCTAATCTAACAATATATATATATGGTGCACAGAGACATCACATCCCATTAACGTGATGCATCAATGAGAAAATCCATAGAAGCCGTGATGAGGATTTGAATCCTCACCACGGCTTCTACAGATCTTCTTAATATATATGATTTTAACAAATAGAAAACCATCTTTGTCACATTGTCTTGCATACAATGTGTCCCACACCCCAGGGGCAAAGCGCCCAAAACTAAAAGTAGGGGAAATTAGCTTTTGAGAAAAGTCGCTGGTACATGTATGTCGGATGGGTATAGCAATGAGACAGTATATGAGATATGATGTTTAAGTGATTGAGGTGTGGGAAATTTGTGTTTGTTGTTCGATAGAGAGTGGACTGAATAAAAATATTAAAATTTGAGTTTGCTCCCCCACAAATCTCGTACTAGTTTAATTTCATTAAATAATTTTTAGACCATCCAGCTTGCTGTTGAGCTTAGGCTCAGATTTGATTGAGATGTTAAGTTGATTACTCTGGTCAAACTTATTTAATTTCTTAATAATCACTGGACAGCCTAGTTATAGTTAGGAATTTATAACATGAGTGCTTAGCTGGTAAACGGAGTGGGCCCGCCTCAACATGTCAACAATATGACTGCTCATCATCAAACTAGTAGGAGAGCTCGTGGAGTCACTCTTCATGCCGGCCAAGTCATTATTAGATTGGATTTAAGTTTGTTTTATTCAGTTATCTCACATAAATATTAATGAGTACAGTATATTAACTCCTCTTACATGAGATATTTTGTTATTATTCCTCATAACTGCACTCAACCACCCCTAGGTTTCCCCCTATTCAGTAATATTATGGCCACAACACCCATGTAACAAGAAGGTAACAGGTTTTGCTTAGCTGCAGCTGAGGTGTGAGGTGGGCACGACCAGATTTCAGAGTCGTGGCAATTAGAACAGCAGCTGAACTGTAAGACATTGGCTGCATAACAATGACATGCTGGGGTCAGTTGCTATGCAGTTGACCAGAACATGTAATGGTGTCAGAGCCGTCCTCCTCCCACCACCTTCGGATTCAAGGAGAAACTATCGTATATTATTTACTCATTTAGAGTTTAAGGCTCTGTCTGTTTATAAATTTGAATCGGCAATGTTAATTTAATTAATTCTTTAATAACCTCAATTAATTCTGTAAGAACTAGGTACAATAGTGTATTTTAGTTGTAGAATTTATAAGAAGTGATAGGAGACAAATTTAGTTTCCTATTTGTTTGTTGTGGTGTGTGACATAAGAACCAGGGGCCAGATTCACGAAGCAGTTACGCAAATGCTTACGAACCTGTACATCTTTCCTCAATCTTTGATGGCTTTGGTTACATTTATTAAACAGTTTACAAGCATGAAAACTTCCCAATCAACTGTTGTTATTGTTATAAACAGTCTCCTGATGCTTCGGAGCTCATTAACTGCCAACTAATTGTAAACAAAGCCGCCAAAGATTGAGAAAAGATGTACAGGTTCGTAAGTGCTTGTGTAACTGCTTCGTGAATCTGGCCCCAGGCCAATACTGCCCAGCCTTTGGTTATGAGCGTTGCTCTCTTTAACCGGGCACCTATAAGTTACATATTAATTTGTTAAACTTGAACAGAGAGTATCTCTCCTTAAGATTTGTTTTAATATTTTATTATTAGAAGTTATACTGTAGTAATAAATATTTCCCAGAAGGGGGATGGGGCAGTGAAATATGAAGCTGTAGAGTGGGTGAAACACAATACACTCAAGCCAGGCTCGGGGAGTAGAAGAACTCCCAAAACCCTCTTAGGTATGCTCCAGGTATACACTGAGGTACTGTAATATTAATATGTTAGTAGAATGCCTGACAATAGTTTAACAAGTGCATCAGCATTATATAAGGAAATCATGTATAGTAGAGAGGCAGACAACCAGAATCTTAGAAGTTTAGAGTGGCACAATATATGAATCACCTTAAGGGTCATCTTATGGTTCCCATAGTTGGGGACAAGAAGCCTGTTAGGCTTACCCTGGGTCCCCTAGACCAAATACAGATGACCCTCCCCAGAATGTAACCCACAACAGCTGCTTAACTCCCAGGTACTTATTACTGCTATGTGAATAGAAGCATTAGGTGAAAGGAAACATGTCCAGCTCTGTCCTGCTGGGAACCTCAGTTGTGGGGGGGGGGAAGGAATTATCAGGGGAAAGTGCCAGGCTGTTATGACTATATAGCACTGGGAAGGGGTCAGGATAAGGGTTTAGGATGGGGCGGGGGGAAGGATTGGTGTCCAACCACTTGGACGGTCAGGGATTGAATGCCAACCTGCATGAAGCAAGACCGTCGCTCTACCGTCCACCCCAAGTGGTTGAGGGGAGGGGGAGAGGAGTCTGAGAGCTTGAAAGAGTGAAAGGTTTGAGGTGATAAAGACTTCAGGAGGAACACCTGCTTTGTCCACATTCTAATAAGGAGCTCCCAGGGGGAAGTAAGGACATGGGACTATAGATAAAATGAAATGTGATTCATTTTGAGAACGTTAAATAGAGGGTAGGAGGAGAAGGGGGACGGATAAGAAAAGATGGGGAATAGGAAAAAGAGATGAGAGGTGGGGAAAGTGAAGAAAGACCCAAGCATAGTATAGTAATTATATTTTAGAATCTTAGTACTGCAATATAAGACTGCCAATACCCAACTCTGACTAGAATATCACTGGAGCATTTGTTATAAAATCTCTCTATTCATTCATACGGTTGCAATACTAGTCATTAAAAAAATTATGCATAAAGATATTTTGCTCTTTTAAGTTATTAACCAAAGACTGTAGTTGCTAATTTTTTATTTCCTACATCATTGTTAGTGACTGTAACGAAGTGGTTAGCTTACGCCGACTGTATTCTGAGATAGGTCGGTCATTGACTTAGGGAGGGACCTTGATTAACCAGTCATATGTTAAACTACATTATAAATTATTATTTATATTATTATTATTATAGTTATTTTATTTGTTTTGCATGAACATGTAAATCTGTGCATATTATTGTATAACTGATGATGGAGGTGCAGAGAACAGGTGAATGGGAATGTGTCATTGCTGTGTAAAGGGATATACAGCAAAAACTAAAATAATAATAATAGTCTAGCCTTGAGCCTAAGAGTTTTGCCTTGGCAGCTCACTAGGATCCAGACGAGACGTAGCTTCTTGGCTGAAATGTAAATATTCACTGCTTGCTTCACTTACTAATTAGGATCTTGTTTATAAAATCAATTGATATTCATTTGGATATCCATTACTTTCAAACAAAAAAATCGCTATGCACTAAGAACGATGCTATACTTATGTACCTTGTAGGATTCAACTTCAGTTCTTGTCAAAAAAAAAAATGCATTACTGTATTTAAATTTATATATAATTTAATTTATACGATAGTTAAAGATACTATTATTAAGACAATTTAGTTTAATTAGCATTATACATTTCTTTTATAAGCACTGTTGTGTACTACAAACAGTAATTGTTTTGTAAGTTAATTATACAGTATTCTAATAATAATATAAGGAATCATAATACCGTATATTAATATTGTTTTAGTAACAAGCTTCTAGTTTTGCAAGCTAAATTGGTGGGAATACTGATGAAGGTCATTCTGAAGATCTATTTACAGTCCTTTATATATATATATATATATATATATATATATATATATATATATATATATATATATATATATATATATATATATATATAATTAATTTGATGTTAAGATTATGTAAATTATTTAGTAAACCTTGAGTCTTTTGTTTTGTTATATAATCATTATATAGCTTTTTTAAGATATATATATATATATATATATATATATATATATATATATATATATATATATATATATATATATATATATATATATATATATATATATATATATATATATATATATATATATATAATATTTTTAAGATATTAGCTTTTTTCAAAATATATATAATTCTTTGCTATGATAACACTTTTTACAGGAGAGTGAGCAGTTTGACCCCTTTGGCGATTCCTTCAAGCCCTCCTTTCCCCCGCCTGACACAAACAAGCCCAGAATTACAGCAAGCACAGCACCCACTCCAGCCCCTTTGGCTCCTCCTCCTGTTTCTGGCAGAACCAGGCATGATTCACATCATGGGGCTCAGCAGCAACAGCAGCAACAACAACAACAACAGGCTGGAGCTTCCGGAGGTGCTGAACAGAAAAGTAGTCAGGAGTTTGGGAAGTTCCCGGTTACTTTTCCAGATGTGACAAAATCTCCCCCACCAGCTCAAAATGAATCTGCAAGGCAAGGGTCACATGCAGGGGAGACTGAGGAAGATAGATATGCAGCTTTTAAAGAATTTACTAATATAAACAATGGATCATTTAATGATTTTAGTGATGCAAGGTTCTGTGAAGGGCAAGAATCTCAAGCCAGTGGTGCATCTAGTCTGCATCAGACAGATGAATTTGATGCTCAGTGGTCAAAAGCCGACTTTGCTGATGCTTCAGGAACCTCTGGTAATAAAGAAACTCAGTATGATGTATTTACTGACTTAGATCCACTTGGTACAGGAAAAAATCGTCCATACATTGACAAGCGTGACTTTTTTAGTGATATGCGTAAGCCAGTAGGGCGTCCTTTACGTGAGATGGGTGATGGAGAGGCTTCAGCACCATGTTCCCCTCGAACTCAACCAGGAATGATTCCTCCTGAGGTTTCGGCATTGGTAGCCTCAACATCTCTGTATGCTACTACACCCAGATCAATTTGTGTGACAGCTTCAAGACATTCTGCATCTACCAATATCACTCCAGTTCATGGTACTTCTATGTCTTCTCATTCCTTTACAGAGTCCTTTAGTCCTCCAGATTCCTTTGGGCAGGAGGACTTTAATTTCCAACAAGCTTCAGAGAAAGATTTTTATGAGGCATCTAATTTTTCATCCTCAGGATTTGCTGATTTTAATACCTTTCCAAATGATTCACCCAGAAGCCAGAGATCAGAAGTATCAAGTAGTATACCTGATGAGCCTCCTCCACCCTTGCCATGTGGACCATTAACTGTAGCTCTGCCTCCCGAATCATTCCGAGATAGTCCTCCACCATTTTCTCCACCTCCAGTCCCAAGGTCTCCTGCAAGAATAGCTTCGGGTCCTGGATCCCCACAATTACCCCATCCCCATCGCTCCCCCATTCCTCGGACTCGCTTGAGCAAACAAATTATGATTGCAACCTCTTCACTGAGTCCAAAAACTCTGCCTCGTAGCCATAAGTTCAGGAAACAGTCGAGCTTTGAAAGTGAGTGGGACACAAGAGATATGGAACATTCTCGAGGTTTTACTAGTGGTGAGCTGACACCTCCAACTCCTCCTCAAATACAGAGTGAAGGAGGTCTCAGTCCCAGGCCCAGACCTAGATCTCATTTATCTAAACAGCTGAGTGCCAGTTCTGCCACACTATCTTTACGACCTTCTCACAGTCGGTATAGTGATGTTGAGCAGTTTTCTTCTCCAGAAATTGAAAGCAGACCTTTTCCTACAGATGACCTTAATCTCAGTTATGAGGAAGCTCCTAAACCACCCCCCAGACCTGCTCATATTGAACCACCACCTCTTCCACCCAAGAGACAGCCTACTCATGTCTCTCTACGACCACCTCCTCGTCCTCCTCCAACGTCTGATGCTCACTATAATTATATCAATGAATATGACTCTTCCCCTGAAGAAGTAAATACTCCACCAATTCCAATACCTGCCAGAAAACCACGCTACCCTGACTCCTCCTCTCAGCCAGCATTTATCCCAAGCCGGTGTTCTAAACCTCATCCAGATAGTTTCCAGTTTCCAAAACCAAGCATTAGTCCTACTCATGAGCTAACAGGAGCTGTACCTAAAAGTTCTAGAGAATCTACCCCAAGTAAGTTATCAACTCCTGGTAAATCTCCTAAATTTATTCAAAAGAGTACTGTATCAGTTGATTTGGCAAATACTAGCCTCGACCAGTTGGCAGCTAGCTTAGATATGCCAGTTGAACAGTTAGCAAGGATGACAGTAGTGGAGTTGGCAGCTTGTCTGGCACAGCTTCAACTAAGACAGGGAGGTGATTTAGAGGATCAGGTTAAAGGGGATATACAAACACATGCCGGGCCACCGGAGAAACCTAGCCGGAGATCTAGAGGTCCCAGCAGAGATCAAAGCAAGGATCGTTTTGCATTTAATGAGGATGAAATGTTTGCTGAATTTGATGCCCAATTTCCCAAAAGTCCAGTAGAGCCTCCAGAATTTAGTGGAAGTGGTGAAGAGCATGTGACACATGCTGTAGGAGCACCAGTTAGTGAGGACAGGTATGCTGTATTTAGAGAACTAACAATTGTCACTAAACAGAAATCTGTATTCGATGAAAATTTCTTAACACCTCAAAATTCAATGGAAGAAGAGGTTTCAGAAGTTTCGTCTGGTACGTTTAAAGCAAATTTTGATGATGAACTTCGACATGATTCCTTGGAGCATAAATCTTCCCTTAGTGATGATGGTGATGCTGGAGAATTGGAGAAAGACAAAGATTGGCATCCTCCAAACCATGACCTTGAATGTGTCACAGTTTTCAGAAGTCCCGAAATTAGTGAGTATGATAATTTTGAACCAGCCTTTGATGCCAAGTTTGACGACGATTTTTCTGCAGCCACAATGAGTGAAAAGAGCCTCACTCCTGTCAACTCTCCATCACATCAGAGACACCCTAGCCCCAGACCATCGCGGCAACAAATTGATGCCCAGAAATCGCCTTTTACAGATGATTTTAGTACTTCAGGTCGTATTAGTGGTAGTTCTTCCAAACAAACATCTGGTAGGAGAACTAGGCCTGAATCTGAAACATCTTTTGCAAGTTTTGATGATAATTTTGTTCCATCATCCAATGATGTAGAGAGATATTCCAATTTTCAAGATATATCAAACAAGGAACAGATGTCTAGACAAGATTCTCTTAGGTCTCCCTTTATTGATAATTTTGTGGATTCTAAGAGAATAGAACAAGTTGATGACAGTGGATTTGCCTCAAGCTTTGGTGACATTACAGATAAGTTTGATGACCCATTTATAACTGTAGAGTCTAAGCCTCGAAGCTCTTCAAGAAGCAGTGTTGACGCCTCGTCAAAAACTCCAGTAGACAGAGAGAAGTCTCTACAACCACCATTAGATACTTCAGTTAGTAAGCGAAAAAGTCCATTTGATGATGACTTCACAAACCGGGGTGATAGATATGAGGTTCTCAAAGAAGTTGAGAGTGAACGAGAGCCATCTCTTGAAGGGGAAGTGAGTCGTCTCACCAGACAAGGAGATCCCAGAGGATCTCCATTTGATGATTCCTGGCATGGATCTCATCGGAATACACCATATGATGACCAAAAATCTATCGGCTCCTTACATTCCATTCATGAAGAACAGACAAGCATTCCTCACGAATCTCCATTTGATGATGATTTTAATCGGGATTCCTGTAAAGCACCTGTAGACCATGGACGGCTTTCCCGTTCAGGCTCTGAAAATAGGAAGTCACCCTTTGGAGACAGCTTTACACCCCCAACCTCTGCAAGACCACATAGGAGTCGAGGCCCATCACGGCTGAGTGTTGGTAGTGAAGGAAGTGATGTTAGACATTCCCCGTTTGAGGATAATTTTAGTTCAATTATTGGTAGTGTAGCTGAAGAAGTGAATTTTGATAATGCATTTCCAAGCCTTCCACAAGACATTAGCACTTCAAGTGAAGCAGTGGAAAGTGATCCATTTAGTGTTAAGCTCAGCAAAGTGCAAGAAAAAGCAGAAGGCAGTGAAAATGATATGCATTTTGCAGACTTTGAGAATGCTTTTCAACAAACTGAAATTGAAATGAGTGGTGAACAATCTATCCAAAACCAAACATCCAACACTCCTGGAAGGACACGTGTCCCAAGTGAAGATGCTACTAGTGACGATGTCTTCCCAAGTGAAGAGCCGGAGTTTAAAGTCTCAGCTCGTTATGTCACCCCTAGCTCAGATATGAAAAAGTCAGAGTCGGTTAATATCTTCCGTCGTAATAGTGATCCCTTTGCTGATGACTTTTTCAGTGCTGAAAATGAAATCGCTCGTAATGCACTATCAAGTAAAACTGATGCCGACCCATTCTGGGAAGAACCTTTTGATAATTTCAGCTTTCCAAAAGAGCAGTGAGAACTATTTCTCACAAAGTACCAATGTACTGTTTATATATGAAGTCAGTATACATTGCTAAATATTTAATGTCAGGTGCAAAACCCAAAGATAAAAGAATGAATTCAACACAATACATTTTAACAAACAATAATGATTATGAAAAACTTATCAATCATAACCATTATACACATTTTGAGTTTTCTCTATTGTTTTGATATTAATACTGCAATATTTTTAGCATCAGTATCAAAACTAGTTGCCGAATAAGAAAGAATCTTGATCGTGTCATATTGCACGTCGAGTGTATAGCTTTCACTACAGCTGCTTGCACCTCTGTTGATTGTTTATGCAGTGCCATACTTGTGTTTACATATGCAATACTCAAGGGGATCTGTCAAAAGTATGAAAGATGAGGAGTCTTTCACAGATTCACAATTTATTTTTGTATTCTTTTTTTTCTGACATTTGTATATATTAAGTTTTGCAAATCTCTTTGACATCATTCCAAGTTTTATGATTATTAATGAGATAATTATGTATAATAATTATGTATAATAATGAGATAATTAAATAATTAAAATAGAGAGATCTGACTCCGGAATTAAAAAGACATCTTCAAATATAAATCATATAAGTTATCTTTTCAAACTGTGATCTGACTGTTTTGTGGTGTATCCTGTGTACTATTAGTCTACATGATGTGTTCTTATAAGGTACTGCAAGCTGTGGAAAAATCGCTCATAAGAAATCTCATATTTTATTCATGGGTTCATTGCTGGAGGTAAAATAATACTTTGTAATCTAGTTTAACAGATGTACACTAAATCTTTCATTCCGCCATGTTTTAAGGAAATGTATCATGGATATTTTGTTTATTACAGAATATATATATATATATATATATATATATATATATATATATATATATATATATATATATATATATATATATATATATATATATATATATGTATATACACACACACACACACACACACACACACACACACACACACACACACACACACACACACACACACACACACACACAGTATGTCGTACCTAGTAGCCAGAACACACTTCTTCGGCCTACTATGCAAGGCCCGATTTGCCTAATAGGCCGAGTGATTTTCTTTATTTTCAATAAATTGTTCCCAATTAGTCTATTTGAATTATTATTATTATATTATATTAAGAACATAAATTATTGACTTAATTTTGTTAGTTTAGGTTTGGTTAAAGTAGGTTAGGTTAGATTAGGTAGGCTTGGTTAGGTTCGGTCGTAGGTTCGGATAAGCTGCAGTTATCACATTCCTCAGTGGCGAAAGAAGCATGCTTGGAGCAGTTGGATTATTTTGCCTTGGTGATGGTTCGGTTTGTATGTTAGTTTCAACTCAAATTGAAACAATTTTTTTTTTTTTTTTGAGATATATACAAGAATTGTTAAATTCTAGTACAGCCACTAGTACGCGTAGCGTTTCGGGCAGGTCCCTGGAATATGATCCCCTGCCGCGAAGAATCGTTAAATTGAAAAATATATAAATTCAGGATAACTTGGCTTATTAGACAAATCGAGCCTTACATAGTAGGCCGAGTATAACGTTCTGGCTACTAGGTACAACATTATATATATATATATATATATATATATATATATATATATATATATATATATATATATATATATATATATATATATATATATATATATATATATAATATATATGTATATATGTACAGTGGTACCTTCGTTTACAATCGTAATCTGTTCCCAAAGACGCGTCGTCAACCGTCAACCAAAAATTCGGCAACCAAAACAAATTTTCCCATTAGAAATAATGTAAATTGAATTAAATTAATCTGTTCCATACCCCTAAAAATATTAACTCAAAAATACATTTTATACTGAATAACACTCATTTTGTACTAGCTACAATACAGTGCTGTATGTATATCTTATCTTGAATGAGGACTCTTGTTGGCGTATGGAAGACAGTGAGGAGGAGAGGTGTTAGTGTTTGGAAAGGGAGTCCCCTTCCATTATAACAGCAGTGATGACATTTTTGGGGTACTCTCTCTTACATTTTGCAGGCATACCACTAATACCTAGTTGTGGCTCACTGCCTGTTTGTCTTACTAAGAATCTGTCTATAGACACTTGTTTTTCCCTTCGTTTTAACACTTGTCTGTAGTGAGAAATCACATTGTCTCACTATGAATGATCTCTTGTTTTCCTCTGTTGTCATCCTCACAAATATTTTCTTAGGTTGAATTTTACCACTGACTTTCTTGGGACCCATGGCATGATATATAATAAGATCTTCTATGTTAAAAAAGCAAAAAAAGAGGGCAAACAATGAAATTCTTTGCAAAGAATTCAAGAGCTCGCCTGCGGTAGTCATTACGCGGGATAGACTTGTAAACAAACTGAGTGCCTCACCCCACGCCTTGCACCCCCAGCATCACGCGCTTGTTCAACCCATACGCATACGAACAGATGTCATCATCCAAGTAAACCATCGTACACCAATTAAAATTTTATGACGAATTAGACATCATTAACCAAAAAATTTGCGCTCTGGGGCAGTCATCAACCGAGGTTCCACTGTATGTATGTATGTGTGCATGCATACATATATATATATATATATATATATATATATATATATATATATATATATATATATATATATATATATATATATATAATAATTTTTTTTTTTTAATTCAACAACAGTCATTTCAAAACAGCGTGAAAAGCTGCAGTTATCACATTCCTCAGTGGCGAAAGAAGCATGCTTGAAGCAGTTGGATTATTTTGCCTTGGTGATGGCTCTCACGCTGATGAATGAGGCTTGCATCACATGGCCAGTCTGATGATACTCCCGATATACCCACCGAGTATGATTTTGTTTCATAAACCAGTATGATGAGTATTATAAGTAGATTATTGTGCTTCATTCCTACTATTGGTCACAACCCAGCAGGCATAATATGCTTGAGTAATCTTAATAATGTTAAATCAATATTGATTCAGTGTTACATTAACGTAGTTTGCCAAGATTTACCTGGGGAGAACTAGAGTCCCAAGAAAAAGGCTCGCATAAATTAATTACAAGTTTGTTTGTATATTGTAGTAATGCATCTAGCGGTGTGGTCTGATGCTATATTTCCTGCGATGAGAAAGACTGTGGTAATCGGCTGCAGCACTGGTCACAGTGTAATGTGCTGGACATCTGGTGAGTTTAGCAGAGTAACAGGTTCTAATGTCACAATATGAGACGTGTGATATTACAGAACTGTATTCTGCTTTAAGCATTTGACCTCCATGGGCTATTGATTTATTAGTTTAACACACTTTTAAGAATGTGATTGAGCCGTATGGAGATATTTTTAGACTATTTAAATTAAACAAAATTGTATTTTTGTTGTTGTTGATGTTGACCTCTGAACCTGTCACATTTTAGATAATAATTTAATTTTATGAAAATTTATTAGACATTTTAGAATTGGTAGCAATATTGCCTTTATAAATTATCACAAGGAGCAAAACCCATGCGAGGGAATATTCTTCAACTGCTAATATTTAGTAAAGTATTAATTTTGATCTGTTGGATGGAAGTTTTATGACCTCTCATTCAGGCAGCTCATAAGATTACCAAAGTTCTCAAAAACATTATACAATTATATATAAAATTCTTCGAGGGAAAGTTTTCTTATGCACGTTCACTTCTGTGTTTAAAGTGTAAGGGAAACATAGGTAAGCAAATGTTACTTTTTGGCATACTAAACATTTAAATTCTTGGTAACTGGACACATTATGCAGGGGATGTAAGTATTATGATTGTAACAGAACTTCGTTTGGGGAGTAAGAGAGAGAGTGAACAGACCTCCTGTTTTACTCTTTGTGAGTGGAAAGTGATTCAATCATTTTATATAATATTTTGATTGACTCAAGTGCTGATGAAACTTGATAATGGTTTTATTTTGATTATCTTCACTAACATGTATGATATCAATAGATCCACATCTAGCTGCTGTGGTGATTTTTGTGTACCACCTACCAGCAGAGAGGTAGGCAAATAAGGGGACTCACCTGATCAGTAAAAAGCTGTCACCAAAACTTAGAATGTAAACTGCTCAGGCTTCGGATACTCTGTGCTCCATGCTCATGAATGTAAGTTTCATGAAGGAGTTAATTTTTATAACCATGTCTAAAGATAGATTAATTTATTATATAGTTTCTGTACAAATATTGTAACTCGATTAATAGTAATAATAACAAGTTATTGTGTTTATTTCACCTCCTTTACTGGATAATTATATATACATTAAAAATATTTTTTAAGTAAGAATCTAATAATCCTTGTAATTTTTACAGCTTATGTAATTTTGTGTACAATATTTGTATTCTATATGCAGAAATAGTATCAAAATTTAAACTTTATACAGTGGGGCCTCGATTTACGATGGTACAGTAATCCATTCCCAGAGACGCATCGTAAGTCGAAATATTGTAAGCCGAAACGATTTTTCCCATAAGAAATAAAGAAAATTGAATTAGTCTGTTCCACACCCCTCAAAATTATTTACTTAAAAATACATTTTATATTGAATACAAATTTTTTCTCTAACTAGAATACAGTACATATGTTTATCTTATTTTTATGGAGGACTCTTGATGGCATATGGAAGATGGTGATGAGGGGGGAGGAGGAGAGGTGTTATTGTTTGGAAGGGGAGTCCCCTTCCATTATAACATCAGGCAGTGAGGACTTCTCTGCAGTACACACTCTGGCACGTTTTGCCTGCATACCACTAGGACCTGCTTCTGGCTCATTGCTTGATTTTCTCACTAGAAATTGTTCCATTGAAGATTGTTTTTCCCTTCTTTGCAACACTTGTCTGTAGTGAGGCATCACATTGTTTTAAAATGTTTTATATATATATATATATATATATATATATATATATATATATATATATATATATATATATATATATATATATATATATTTTGTTAAATATGACCGAAAAAGTGAGATTAAAAATTCTAACACAAATTTTCTCAATATTTCTTATGTTTCTTTTTACTGTTGATGGTAATTGAAAAATCGATTCTCCTAAATTCATTTTTATTTCTAGTCTGACGTGACGCTTGAATGCGTTTCGTAATAACTTATTACATTTTCAAAGACTTTAGTTTACACGCACAACTGTAACCTGAAAACACTAAACAGAGTTTAGTGTCTTAATACTAAAATATTTTGTAAATTATGTTTAATTTAAAATTTAGTAAATACTAAACAGAGTTTTAGTGTTTAGTATATATATTATATATATATATATATATATATATATATATATATATATATATATATATATATATATATATATATATATATATATGTATATATATATATGTATATATATATGTATATATATATATATATATATATATGTATATATATATATATGTATATATATATATACATATATATATACATATATACCTTGGGTTTATGAGAGTACAAAGCATTGATGTTTTTACATTCTTGAAAGCCATTTAACACGCATAGCATTTCGGGCAGGTCATTAATCTAACAGTTAATTTTAAGTAGTAATTTGTAGTAAAATTTGAAGAATATTAACGGGTATATTGTAAGAAAATTTGAAGAAAATATAAAAGGTACATTGTAGTAAAATTTGAGAATTATCAACAGAAACATTGTAGCATAATTTGAGGATTATTAATAATTACAGTACATTATGGTAAAATTTGTGTTCAACATAAGCTCTTATTATTTAGGTTCAAAAGCTATTTAGTAACATGTCTTCACACCATTTATATTTAATTAGTTTTTTGACATTTGGGCATCAAGCAACTTTTCCCTATACTGTATTAACTTAAATCTCAGGTATGTCATGAGCAATTTTGTAACCATTTCTCTATCCATGTACAGTACTTAATATGGTAGGAAAAAATTTGAAACCTAAAGCTATAAGTTGCCTGTTGGCAGTATACAATGTTGCTTGTAGTTGGTAAGCACACTGGTTGGTAGATGCTTGACTTCTCTGAACTGTACCCAAAAAAGTGAACACCAAGCCCCCTACCTCCTGAGAAGGCCAACTGGAAGACTGTCAATTGACACAGTGACCCCAGACGATACAGTATAGATGTCATGTTTCCCAAGAACTCTGGGTTATGTAACATAAATCATAGCTTAATGGAAAATTCAGGAAAGGCCTCTTTTTTTTAACTCAAATCCAGGTAGGCAAAAGACTTATCACTACCTTTCAGTGACCTGTATAATAAAAGTCAGATTCCTTCCACATCCATAGCAGCCCTTTCTTGTGGACATTTCCAGCATCAGGAAACTGTACTGTACTAAAGTTGAACTGTTGTACTTAATCTAATCTACCAGAGGCCCCCCTTGAACAGGACCCAGGACATTGTCAATTTTGCGAGTCGCTATCAGTTTCAAGTACGACAATTTTTGGCCTTGGGTGAAGTATACGTCAAAATGCGACATACCACTAGTATTTAGAGGACGGGTTGTTCAGAGAGCACATCAGGCACCAAGATTTTTTGCCAATACGAGGGGGCTGAGCTAGTGAGAATAATGCTCGGTGATTTGACAAGAGTACAGGATTTGCCCCTAATGGAACTTACAAAAAGAGCCATTAGGGGCTTGTGGGCCAGATCATCCACCAAACAAGCCTTTCAGGAAAAATATGAAGTAAAATAGGCTTCGAGTTGTTATTTATTTCCTTTCACTCCTACCCACAACAGAACCCATCAATAGGAGGAATATGTGCATAGATTATCTCGGGGATAACATGGCAAGTATAGGCTGGTAATCATTGAAGGAATGGCATCCAAGGAATAAATAGAGATGCCAACCTTCCACAGCCTTCACGACCTTACCCAGGATTGACCAGCGGATTCACTCAGCAGTTAATAATTCTCCCCCAAGGTAGTAAGAAATCACCCTTCTCCCAAAAGTAGTTATTTTCTTCTATCAAGAAAATAACTACTAGTGTAAATAACTTTCTAAATACTTCCCAATGACATTAAATTAAACATATTATGTATAGTTTTCATAGAAAAAATTTAAAAAGATTAGCTGGTAATATAATTATTGCCCATATTTTTAGTGTTGTTGGTGACAATATTTAAAAAAAAAAAAATGCTAAGTTATTTCAACTGAAGCTTAAAATGTTTCTAATTAGCTAAGTTTTGCAATATGAAAGACAACTGAAAAAAATTTTATAAGTTGGATTGAGCCCCTCAATAATTTTTGTATCCTCTGTAATCATTTTGTGCTACCACTAATAGGATGAATATGGGGCGTACTCTTTACTGGCTGTCACTGATGGTAGCAATCACTGGACATAATCTAGCCCTGGCATGGGGAAGTCTGAATAGCCCCCCCACATTATTTATCTCCTTAACGTGGCAGATCCCTTACGCATGACTGCGAATAAAATATACTAGCTAGTAAAAAAGATAAGGTGGTAATCATAAGCGAATATGTGAGAAATTGTATGGGAAGTGATATACCGTATTTATTCAGATGTTTTGTTGATAAAATGAAGTTTTAGCCGCATGAAACAGTCTACAGACACTCCTATCATGCATTGCTAATGTTCACTTGTCAAGTATGGATGTCAGGAGGCTCAGGGCAGTTGTTTCCTTTTGCTCCTTGGTGAGCCTAGGTGAGTAAAACATACTTGCTTTCATATTTTATTATAATTAACCTGTAGCCCAGTTTACACATTCAGATTATTAGCATTAATTTTAGGCAAAGACACGTGTATGCTTATATATTTATGTGTAAAATATGTTGATGTGTACGTATTTGATTGATAAGACACAAAGATTTTAGTTGTTTTTTATATTTATTTAGTATAGTCTTGGCTATAGACTATATAGTCTATAGTCAAACCGACTGCCAGCAGTCGGTTTGTTGGAAATGTAATGAAGAAGAGATGAAGCCTGGAGCAGGGCAGAGAGGTTGTGAGGCCAGGGATAGAGAGCTCGGATGTGGGGCAAGTGCATAGTATGGTGCTCTGAATACTGGTGGAGTCGAAGAGCTCGAATACGGGACGAGAGTGTGGAAGCTCGATGCTGCCGGAATCTGGCTGTTTGCTCTGTGTCAAGGCTGAAGCATCTTCTAAGGGTAGGAACTGGACTCATTGAATTTTGTTGTTATTTTAGATTCAGCTACTCGGAACAAAAATTCCAAGTAGCACAGGCTATGGTGAACCCGTAGCATTGAGTGTTACATTGTTGCTGGTGAATGTTACAAATTCATATATTTCTATGTGTGTATATCACGAAAATAAACACGTGATTAAGAATGTGACAATGTCAGACCACGGAGGAAAATGAAACAGGAATTTCCTTAAGTACTTTCGTATATTAAATACATCTTCAGAAGGAATCAACAGTCTACAGAAGGATTCCTTTTAAAGATGTATTTAATATACGAAAGTACTTAAGGAAATTCCTGTTTCATTTTCCTCCGTGGTCTGACATTGTCATATATCTCTCTCTCTATATATATATATCTCATTATACAAGTTTAGACTGATAACGATGATTGATTGATTGATATAGATTAAGCTACCCTAAAGGTGGTATGGGCATGAATAGCCCATTAGATGGCGCAGTCAATGGCTTATATTACAAGCTTGCACCTTACCTTGCCAAACTGACCATCATCTAGCAAATTGGGAAGATATATTAAATGTAATTAGTTGTACACTTAGGAATTGTAATTAGTGGACCAACTAATTACAACTGATACTATATAACCTATATTGATACGAATTTATCTAACCATATAATGATATACTGTAGGTTATATTAATTCTGGCACAAATCTTAAACTTTTCTAATGTTCTTCACTTGGGAAGAAAGGTAAGGTAAGATAATTATCAGGGAAGGTAAGGTAATTATCAGGAGAAAGTTCTAAGCCATTACAACTGTTCAGCACTTGAAAGGGATGAGAACAAGGATGGAGGTAGGTAATGGTGCCCAACCACTTGGACAGTTGGGGATTGAACGCTGACCTGCATGAAACGAGACTGTCACTCTACCGTCCATCAGTTGGGTTGAAAGTCGAAAATTTAACTCTTCAAAAATTGGTGCATCGTTAAATACTTACAAAAGGTTAAAACGTAGTTCCAATTATTATTATTTACATTCTTGTACAGCCACTAGCACATAGCGTTTTGGGAAAGTCCTTAATCCTATGTTCCCTGGAATACGACCTCCAAATCGTTTAACAACCAGGTACCCATTTTACTGTCGGGTAAACGGGCTACAGTTAAGGATTGACGCCAGTAAATCCTCACCCTCTCGGTATTTAAGCTGGTTAACAGTGCAATAAATATACAAACTCCGCCACTATGTTCAAGGAAAGATGCACTGGTCTCAGTGCAAAATTTAGGAATGAAAGAGAAATCAGTTCTCAATAGGAAAATACAGTAGTGTGACCAGTTACTTAATCTACACAGTTCACAAGGTTTTTGGTATGGATACATATTTATTTATTTATTTATTTATTTATTTATTTATTTATTTATACAAGAAGGTTCGTTGGTTTTGTGAGTGTACATAGCATTAATGTTTTTACATTCTCGCAAAGTCACTAACACACATAGCGTTTCGAGCAATGAGGGGTTACTTCATGATGGCTAACTATATTTTTATTAGAATCTACCATCTTACATGACCTAAAACTCGACACGATGTGGTGGTTAGTAATTTGTTGTATATTTTCTCTGACTAATATACTGAATTTGAAGCAGTCGACAAGTCACGGCGTAGCTCGGGATATTTGTGATAAACAACGTAATTTGTTATAATTTGCAAATTTGCCAAATCTGCAGATCTTTTCCCCATTGACACATCGTCAATGGGGAAAAGGGTCTCCCTGTCGAAAACTGAAAATGCAAGATTTTGAGACCAAGTCAGATGCTAATGATTTACTACACTGGAGATAAGGAACATGTGGGAAAATTGTCTGGGAGTTGTTACACAGTATTCAGCTGTGTTGCGGTCACCATGTGTAGAGTCCCACATACGAGGCTCGCCACTGACACTTGCCGCTGCCAGTGCCACCATCACACACCAACATGGAGGGCTGGCACTGCCTAGGGACGGTTATTGTTGCCTTCTGCTACCTACTGAACCTTGGTAAGTACCTTATCCTTGAGGTTACCTTGAGATGGTTTCGGGGATTAATGTCCTCGCGGCCCGGTCCTCGACCAAGTCTCTTGGTTGTTGGACTGGTCAACCAGGCTGTTGAACGCAGCTGCTTGCAGCCTGACGTATGAATCACAGCCTGGTTGATCAGGTATCCTTTGGAGAATTATTATCTGTATAGTTATTATCTTCCATTACTATAGTATAGTTATTATCTTCCAGAATTATGTTTCGGTTAACCTGTTGATCATCATATAATATACAATCGCCTTACATTCGGGTAAATAGATCCCCTAGCCTTATTTTGTAAATTATAAGAGCCCTCGTAGTGATAACTGTGTCTTTAATTAAAATATACCCTGTAAAGGTTGTAATATATTCTATATACTGTAGGTCAAACGTTCAGAGATTTGAAATTCCTAATTTTGCATCATAAATATTCTTTAAGAACAGCCAAATATTATCTAACGCTTTGTTTATTAATTTCTCAAAATTCTCACCAAATTGATTAGGAGAGATCTTCTTCAATTGTAAATGCATTTAATAGAAATATTATTGAATCTGCTTGAATGTAACTGTTGGCTAGCTGTGGTTAAGTTTGATATTTAATGCAGGTGCAGATTAATGCAAACAAATGTAAGGTTCCGAGGCTAGGTAATGATAATAGCTATAGGATATCAGTTGAATGGTATTGAAATGCGAGGTCTAACTGCGATAAAGATTTGGGGTTCATAGTATGAATTTACAATACAAAAATCATTGTATAAATGATCGAAATAAGGCATATAGGATACTGGCATTTATTTCTAGAAGCGTCATCAATAAAACTACTGGTGTTATTATTCAACAATGTCTTACTCCTGTTAGATTTGAGGTTCCTCAAATCTTATGATTTATGAACCTTAATAGATAATATATGCTAATATATTATACTATTAATTTATATTTAAGAAAATCCCGTTTTAAATGAACAGCATGTAAAAAATTATGAATGCGTCTGTGGGGTCGACCACTGAATGGAATGGACTTGAGTTGAGGACGGGTTGGACGTGGGGGTCCTTCATTGTTTCAAGCCTATGTTTCAAGATATGAAACTCATGTTTCAAGTTTGAGTGGATATGCATAGGCACTACCACGTGTGGACGAATAGGCATTCTATAGTTTCCTTAAATCTTATGTCCTTATGATCTTACTTATAAACACGTGAGTATTGTGTGCCATCAGGAAAAGCTGGAGTGTGTGCAGGATCTGGTGAAGAGCCAAGGGTGCTGTTGCAGCTGGAGTTGGGTGAGCCATACGTCTACGAGCAGGGCCAGCGCTGTGGGACAGATACCGGGTAAGTTGAGTACGGTCAAATTCAATTTCTTTGTTATGCACCCCATACCCATCCCCTGGGCGGTGGTGTAAAGGGTTACAGAGGCACATAATCGGTTCAGGAACAGAACCCTCTAGTTCGTTTAGCTAGGCAAATAACAATTTTTTGACGCTGTTTACACAATTATTAATGTTATATATACATGTACACATACTCATACATACATGTACATATATATATATAGGTCAAAGACCTGAGAAAATATGTATGCTTACAGCGTCACCGCATTTCTTTTTTAAACAAACCTAACTTAATCTATCCTACCTTAACCTAACGAAAATATGAGATAAAAGGTTGTGATTTATATACACGTGGCGAGAACGACGCATGAGACGTCACTGACTTAAATATTCACGCCGGTACAAGTTTCAGATCCCAATTGTGGTATGTAGTATGCTCATTACATGTGGTATGCTACAGTATACCACATTGTGGGTATACCGCAGCAGCGCCGCTAGCCTATCCTGGCCATGTGTTTAGTGCCCACCTACACTTCTTAAGGCAGTATTTGTTTTGTTTTTTACTCACATTCCCTCGGTAGGGGTTTCGGTGCTTGAGTGTATTGATAATACATTTATTCTCATCCATTCTCCTTTAGATACAACCTAATACCCACCAAACTTGTTTTCATTACACTTGCTTTCAAATTGCTTGCTTAAATTGCATTCATCCTCACCTTACACCCCCCCCCCCCTCCCTCCTCTCCTTTCACAGTGCCTTATTTTCGAGAATTAAATACAATAATAGTCAGTGAGAAATTTCGTACCTAAAATATTGGTAGTCAATAAAACTGCCCTCCAGTCTGCCTTATATGGGTCAAAGTCTTAATTAGCACCTATAAACACTGACAATAAGCCGACAATGATTAGGCCCATGAGGTGTGGATTTAATTTCTATAAACCGTCGCATATGTTACGGTGGGGTCGATCGCGTAAAAAAATTACTGTGTTAACTAGACAGGTTGTTCCCTCTCCACCCCCTGCAGGTGTCTGTTTTCGTTCCATACGGATGAAACATCTGGAGAAGACAATCTGGGAGAATACGTTGAGTTGAGGAAGTATTACAACACCTCCCAGGGCGCCATCGTCGTCCACTCCAGCAGGTCCTACATCACTGGTGTCCTGGTCTTCAAGCAAGAGTTCCCTGATGGACTGCAAGGTGGGTCTTGTGAGGAGGGGGGGGGGGTTTAAGGGAATACTTTTCGTACACACTAAGTAGCTAAGCTTCAACACTCTGGTCCCCAACTCTCAAGTTCAAGTACGTTTATTGAGACAACAAAATACATCTCAAAGGGATAAAGTAGCTTAGGCTATTTCTACCCCCCCCCCCCCCCCCTTCCCGACTCTCATTCTTCATCCAACTAGTGAAGAAGTTCCAAAGCCTTTAATGCATTCCTTTAGATTACCATTTTAGTCAAATTCGTTTGTAATGTTTCTGTCGTTCATTCGGGTATTTAGTTTCCGCCTGCAGTGTCTCCATGATCATGTACCACCCGTTCCCTCTGTTCATTTGAGAATTTAAAGGAGGAATTGTATATGTTTATCTCTCAGAATGTTCGGCAATATGTTTATTGTTTGTGATGTGTCTATATACGTATGAACACGTTGTACTGAACGGGGTAAGAATAGCTTGAGCTACCTCATCCCTCTGTGTTTATTTTACCTCAATAAACTTATTTCAATTTCAATTTCAATTTGAGCATTTTGTGTGGCGATGACATCTGCCGTGATGCTCCTCACTTCCTGTAGGGAGGGGGGCGAAGAATTACCTCCAGGATCAGTCTTATGGCAAAGCTCTCGTGCATATTCCAGCAGTGAAATATTGATGTTCATGAAAAAGCATGTTGCTATTTCCCAATTCATTCCCTTTACAGTTCTTGAGGTAAAGAAATTCTAACTTGTATTCCGTGCTACATAGTCTTCCGGGCTTGGTTCCTTTTTTTATAATTACTTACTTCCTGGCATTCCTGTATTCATCTAACTTCTATGTATATCTTCTCACTATTTCACTGCGCAGTTTTGTCTACTATTGATAACCTAAAATGGTTAGCGTTCGTACTTGCTCAAGTCTCCTAAGGGGCTAGATATGCTGGAAGAGTCGAGCGTAAGCTGCTCAGTTCTGCCTTTTGAACCATAAATTATTTAATGCATTTAAGATAAATTTTATTGCTGAATTATGAAAGTTGCTTATTCAGTTATAGCTTCATCAATTCCATCCCATACGGTTATATCATGCACTGAAGAAATACTGGGGCCATGATCCAGACATACAAAATATTTAAGGGGTATTAATTGTGTGTGTGCAATATTAACTTGCAACAAAGTACATATAGTCATAGTTGAGGCGTCTACCAAGGAACTGAAGGTTATAATACGGTGAGTGTTGGGAGAGGATTCACGGGAGACATCTCCCGTCGCGCAGGGTGCAGTCGCACCTCCACAGATCTCCAGTATCAGCTCTTGATACTGGTAATGGCTCAAAAGGGCCACCACTTACGGGCTATTCATGCCCGTGCCACCTTTTGGGTGGCTTAATCTTCATCAATCAATCAATCGGGAGAGGATTATTAATGTGACTTTAGGGGTTGTCAAGCTACCATGAAGGTGAGAGGGCAGGTTCGGGTTATGATGATGGTTGGAGAGTAATAGGAGAAAACCTCCTCCGATGCCGCACTTACACACCCTCTCTGTCAGGAACGAGTACGGGCAACAAAGACCTGGTTAGTGCCTGCTACCCCAGCTTGGTCCTCCCCAGTTCCTCTGATGCCCCAGACCTCCGGTACATCACCCCTGGAGGGTTTATGGCCGGCTGGACGCTCTACTCCCACGGCAGGTAAGTGGATAGATACTTTTTATCTTTTTCAGGGATATTCCTGAGCGGGCCCTAAGCCTCTGGCTAGCCCGCTAAGTGTTCCTCGTTTCTGTTTTACCTGGGTGTTGTACGAGCATTTATGACGCATGTTGGCTGCATTAAGATTATGTCCCATGTGTTTAACAACTTCTGCTTTGTTAAATCTCAGTTGAAATTTTATTTGGTTTGTAACTGTGCACTGTGTTAGATAATGTTACAGTAGTCTGTCGGGCATTTCTCCACAAAGCTGACATTTCATCTCAAGTTCAAGTATGTTTATTGAGACAAGAAAAAATATATCTCAAAGGGATAGAGTAGCTTAGGCTATTTCCACCCCCCCCCCCCATTTCATCTCATTAAGTGTTCACTTAAGAAACCTGTACATCTTTTTAGAGCTTGGAAACACTACGATGTTGTTCTCAACACAAAGTCGAGAATTGTTACGGACAAAACTTCGTACAGTTTCGGAGCTAATAAATTGTTTAATAAATGCAATTTAAGCCGCCATAATTGGGGAAAGATCTACTGGTTTCATAAGTAGACATTTAAGTGCTTGATGAATACTGGCCTAGGTAGGTACTCCAGGATACCACAGTTACCAGGTATAGGTATTGGGTGAAGCAAATCAAAACAAAGGTGTAGTGGAATGGATTACAACCAACTGAGAGAAAAGGGACTAGATAATTACTGGAAGTTTCAGATTATCATTAATGTCAAAACCTTCGATTATTTCTAACCTTCATAAACTCTAATCTCTAGCAGAGCTGACAATGAATAGTAAGCTACACGAATGTATAAACACTTCTCGCTTGTTATGATACATAAAATGATTTTGTTGAAAATCTCAATCTCAATCTCTCTCTCTCTCTCTCTCTCTCTCTCTCTCTCTCTCTCTCTCTCTCTCTCTCTCTCTCTCTCTCTCTCTCTCTCTCTCTCTCTCTCTCTCTCTCTCTCTCCCCTCCCCTCCCCTCCCCTCCCCTCCCCTCACTCCCCCTCCCCCCCCACAACGATTTGCTCTACCCCAACCCCTCAAGAGTACCCCAGACACAGCCGCGTGCCTCGCCTGGCCTGGGAGTCCTCCCCACAGGCGCCGGCCAGCTGACGGAGAGACAGGGGAAACAATAGTGACCTGAGGATGATGGGCGGGAGTTTGGGCGAGGTCAGGCGCCAGCCAGACGGTATGTGAGGTCGTGGCCGAGCTTCAGGTGGCCGCGGTTCCATCCTATTGGTGACCTCGGGTCTTGACCGCGTCCCCGCCTTCGCTAATTAGTCAAATGTTTATCCTTATTTTGAAGATTTATGGACGCTGATGTCCATAAATTCCATGAAATTCTTTGTTCGGGTTAAACAAAGAACCAAACGATTATTATGAAAGAGAGAGCAAAAGTTAAATTATACTCTCTTATGATGGAAGTATAAATGATAGGAGGATATAACAAGAGAAAAAATAATATGGTGGTAAATATGTGAACACAAACTAGAACAACGAAACAATTAGCTCAAATTGGTTATAGCCTCAGATAAGATCGGAGTAAATGCTCGTTTGAAAAATAGGGAACAGTAGTATATTAATGGAACGCTGTTTAGCAGAATTGCAGCATCTGAGGTACTAGAGATGGACACCGCCTTGACCACTACTTATGAAACTGTTACCTAAGAAACATTAGCAATATGTGTAGTATTCTAAATCCCACAAAACATTTTTAACTTTGGGAAACTCTGACAAATATCGATACTCTTCTTAAAAGCTTTCCTAATTTTCCACTCAAGATAACACAGGTTTTTTATGTTTGTAAGTGTTTATCTTATGTGATTATCTGTTCACTTGAGACAGTTAAGTAGGTCCCAGTTGCGTCTGGGTACAAGTGACAGGATGAACAACCCAGTGGGTTTTCTTCCTATTGGGGAGTGTTGTACATACTGCTGTGATTGTATGTTTACTCACAGGATGAGTGACGCTGCCCAATAAACAAACTGATACCTTTGGATACTGGCGTATCCATATTTGATACGTTGTACCAAATATTTTGCCTTGGGTTTACCTTAGGGCAAAGTTATACAAAACTGACACGTTGTTAGAGTATATACAAGTCGCCGGGTGGCTGGATTGTTTCAAGTGTATGTATATATATATATGTCGTACCTAATAGCCAGAACGCACTTCTCAGCCTACTATGCAAGGCCCGATTTGCCTAATAAGCCAAGTTTTCATGAATTAATTGTTTTTCGGCTACCTAACCTACCTAACCTAACCTAACCTAACTTTTTCGGCTACCTAACCTAACCTAACCTATAAAGATAGGTTAGGTTAGGTTAGGTAGGGTTGGTTAGGTTCGGTCATATATCTACGTTAATTTTATCTCCAATAAAAAAAGTTGACCTCATACATAATGAAATGGGTAGCTTTATCATTTCAAAAGAAAAAAATTAGAGAAAAAATAATAATTCAGGAAAACTTGGCTTATTAGGCAAATCGGGCCTTGCATAGTAGGCCAAAAAGTGCGTTCTGGCTATTAGGTACGACATATATATATATATATATATATATATATATATATATATATATATATATATATATGTGTGTGTGTGTGTATGTATTTGTATATATACGTACCTAATAGGCCAAGTTGCCTAACAAGCAGAATTTTCCTGAAATTATATATTTTTATAATTTTTTTTTATTATGGAATGATAAAGCATTCCATTACAATATATGACTTACTTTTTTAAAATTTGAGTTAGTTTTAACATAGAAATTTGATCACACCTAACCTACCTAAGCTATCCTAACAACATAACTAAGTCAGTAATTCATGTTCTTAATATAATATAATATTATATATATTTATAATATATATATATTAATATCTTAATATAATATATTATATTAATTAATATAATATTAATTAAAATAAACCAATTTAAAAATAAATATTTAAAAATCACTCTGTTAGGCAAATCGGGCCTTACGTACTAGGCCAAGTAGTGCGTTCAAGTTATTAGGTACGACATATACATATTTATACTATGAAAGAATGTGTTTGTCTGTTCAGAGGTGGAAACCATACAACTTTTTTGGACTCCAACTTTGGATAGAAAAATACAAACGGATGGATATATAGATGGGAGACTCAGACCCGGGCAGTGCCGGGTACCCGTAATATTTTATATATATATATATATATATATATATATATATATATATATATATATATATATATATATATATATATATATATATATATATATATATATATATATATATATATATATGTCGTACCTAGTAGCCAGAACGCACTTCTCAGCCTACAATGCAAGGCCCGATTTGCCTAATAAGCCAAGTTTTCATGAATTAATTGTTTTTCGACTACCTTACCTACCTAACCTAACCTAACCTAACTTTTTCGGCTACCTAACCTAACCTAACCTATAAAGATAGGTTAGGTTAGGTTAGGTAGGGTTGGTTATGTTCGGTCATATATCTACGTTAATTTTAACTCAAATAAAACAAAATTGACCTCATACATAATGAAATGGGTAGCTTTATCATTTCAAAAGAAAAAAATTAGAGAAAATATATTAATTCAGGAAAACTTGGCTTATTAGGCAAATCGGGCCTTGCATAGTAGGCCAAAATGTGCGTTCTGGCTATTAGGTACGACATATATATATATATATATATATATATATATATATATATATATATATATATATATATATAATATATATAGATATAGGGAGCCGAGCGGACAGCACGCTGGACTTGTGATCCTGTGGTCCTGGGTTCGATCCCAGGCGCCGGCGAGAAACAATGGGCAGAGTTTCTTTCACCCTATGCCCCGGTTACCTAGCAGTAAAATAGGTACCTGGGTGTTAGTCAGCTGTCACGGGTTGCTTCCTAGGGGTGGAGGCCTGGTTGAGGACCGGGCCGCGGGGACACTAAAGCCCCGAAATCATCTCAAGATAACCTCAATATATATATATATATATATATATATATATATATCTTGAGATATATATATATATATATATATATATATATATATATATCTTGAGACTAATACCATATATATATATATATATATATATATATATATATATATATATCTTGAGACTAATACCATATATATATATATATATATATATATATATATATATATATATATATATATATATATATATATATTCGTTCGTCGTTCTTGTAGACATGTTATTAAATTAAGAATGAAAAGGTGAAATCAATGATTGTAGTAGTAATCTTAGGTTTAGGTTCTTCACTTGGGATGGAACTTATTTAATTAAACTATCTCTGGTTTAATTTAAACTGTTATTTAAAGTCATTATTGAGGTGTGACATTAACTGTAATTTGCAGCGTTGTGTTTACGCTATCGGAGAGAAGCTAAACAAGCAGAGTGAAATTGAAATTGAAATAAGTTTATTGAGGTAAAATACGCACTAAGGGATGAGGTAGCTAAAGCTATTCTCACCCCGTTCAGTACAACGTGTTCATACATATATAGACACATCACAAACAATAAACAATTTACCGAAAACAAGCAGAGTAGTTCAGAAAAAATGATGTATCGCCCCCACCAGCATGTTTACTGACGTGGACTGGTTCCGGGATGGCGAAGATGGAGGGGTGGTGGTGCTGTTTCAGGGCGAGGACGAGGCTGTAGCCAGCGTGGTGGTATCCGCCCTCACCCAGCCCATGGCCACTAATGTATGGCTCGACCGAGACCACTGGACTCTAGATTGGGGAGTGCAGGGCCTGGCCGAGCACATCCCAGCAGGATTCTCGTCTGAAGTGATCATCTACCCGGGCGTGGAGGGCATCACCAAGAACATCATGGGTGGGTAGCCTAATAGAAATATTACATATTAACATTAAGTTAGTTTATATCAACAGCAGTTACCTATGGTTTTAGTTGTATTATGATTCACATTTTATGTGAATAGATTAAAGTCTGATAGTCTAATGGAAGCCTAATCACTCTATATATCTTGATTGCTTTCGTTTTTAACTGGGATTTTGACCTGTAAGGATAATACTGTACCAATACTGCTAACTGGCCCCACTACGCAGAAAATATTGTCATTGGTCAGCATACGACAGGTTGTACTGTTGTCTTAGTTGGCTGTAATGATAATGCTGAGTGAGTGATGTGGCTTTGTAAGTGTGGAGTGTTGAGGTTGTGAGGACACGGTACTGATCTGCATACTGTAAGTGTCCCTTAACGTCTGCTGTTCCAGCGTGGGGGGACGCCTTGAAGCGCTATCATGGGGCTGCCAAGATGCAGGACACCTCGGCAGACTTCCTCACCTACTACACTGACAACGGCGCCTACCACTACTACAACCCTCTTCCATACATCAACTTCCGCGACGCCCTCACCCATGTCTACAACTACTCGCTCGATAACAATATTCCATTCAGGTGAACTTGCATAACGAATCATGTTATATATAGTTTAACTCTGGCAAGATAAAAAATGTCTGGAAACATGGGTATTTCATGATAATCATTATTCACTCCCTGCCCGCAGATAGCTTCACTGCGGTTCGGTAGTCCGAGCAAGCAATCTCTTGTTATCTTTTACTAAGTTGTGCAGGTACCTTCTCCGTCACCTGGCCCCAGCGTACATTACTAACCCTGGATCCTACAGGCGCCTGCAGCTGGACTCCTGGTGGTACTACAAGGGCGTCGGCTTCGGCGTCAAGAACTGGACGGAGATCCCACTCTTGTTGCCGGGTGGCATCGCTGGCCTGCACCAGACGACAGGTTGGCCCATCGTCGCCCACAATCGGTACTTCAGTAGTGACACTGTCTACGCTCAACAGAATGGAGGTAGGTGTCGGGGTCAACAGCTAAGAAGGATAGATACAAGGAAAGTAAATTACTTTCAATCAAAATTTTATCTTAAAAATCTTAATAATAATGTTTCTTCAATTTTGTTTTCCCAAACTGTACTGTATATCATATTGAAGTCACAGGAAAGTGATATCTTGAGTGAGACTTCTAGTTCAGGTAATTTTAGCTTATCACGGTCCAGTCGGTAGTGTGTGTGCTGGAGGTCATGGATGCGGGTTCGACCCCAGTGTATGATTTCATTATTGTATCAGTAGTATACAGTTGTAGTAATTACTGTAATTTTATTTTCTGTAATTAACAATTCGAGTTGTCACGAGTTGTATATTATTTTAGCGCCTGTCTTAGTCTCTTAATAAACAAATAATTCGAAGTAAATAAGTAGATTTTGACGAAGTCCACTCTGCTCACTCTTCATGTATCTAATGGTGTCATCATATAAACTTCCATACTAACAAATCAAATGAAAGAACATTATACACAGTTATAATTTGTTGACTCGGAGCCGGTCCTCATTTCTCACCAACCCACAGTAAGCCAAGTCCATTTGGCCCAATATCTACAATATGTAGCTTGATGAAGCGTTGTGTAGATCAGCGGCTGTTTCAGTGGCCAGCTTCTTACCTCACTGCTATATATAACTCGCAGGGAGGACTTTCCTGGCGAGCTTGCCTTCCTGCAAACATAAAGCATTTATGTAAAATCCCGCGACGTTTTCAGAAGATTGTGAGATGGTACAACATAAAATTGCAGTTGCGAGATCATTGCAGCAACGCTAAAAACGTTGCACAGCCAAAATACAACGTTGCAAAACATTGCCGTAAGGCTCTGATTTTGCTGGAGTATCTTCAACACTATGCACCTACCCTTTACTTTTGTTTATCCCTCCATCCTCTCACTCATCTTCACAAATCAACCTCTTCCCTACCCAGGTCAGTACCCTTTCACGGTGGATGAAGAGACCGGGAAGTCGCTACCGCTGGACAAGAGCTTCTGGGACGACCTGCTGGACGAGGCTCTCACCTGGGGTCTGGCCACATACGAACAGGACTGGCTGGACAGACAGTACATGTTCACCAGGTTAGTGAATGTACAACACATGCACGCCAGGTAGGTACGACACCTTTGTCCAACTTGAGTGTAACATATTTCACTTGTTCTTGCTGATACATAAATCCTTTGATGGTTTACTTACTAATCAACTGGAAATTTCCAGTTGACGGAAACTGGCACATGGAAATTTCATCACACTTTTCTCCTTTAACTTTGAACGCCTACTCAAACAGCGATCATCTTGCTCACTAATACTCTCAAGCCTAATTCCAACAAACCTATCAACAATCACCCCTTTCATTTACATCTTACCACATCATTTATCTTGTTCCCTTCTTTCCAAAAGCGCCCTACACACTAACGTGACGTTGGGGAGCAGTTGGCTGGACAACATGGGGAAGGCAGCGGAGGAACGCGGCCTCAACATACAGTATTGTATGTCACTTACCCGCCACGTCCTCCACTCCGTCAGCCTCCCTGCCGTCACCCAGATCAGAGTCAGCGGCGACTACCTCTACACTCCGGTAGGTGGTCGTCTGTCTTGAGTCTTTGTAGATGTATCGAAGTTCCGTAAACCGAACAGCAACTGGAAATAGCCACCATGACTTGACTCTACTTGGAAGTTACGAGAGTTGTACCACTGTCCAAGTTGAAACTAAAATTCTTGGCTCCTAGTGCAGTAGGTTTAGATATGAAGCCTTGTTGTTCTTTATGCTAGCCTCAGCTAGAGTCTTACATAATGTGAAAGTAATCAGTAATCATTTGAACATTACATAGGTCTCAGCACAATAAGAAACCTAATTGGGCTGTCCGTCAGCGACGAATTAGGTGTTTACATTTATTTGAATTAAGCTTGTATGGACATGCAGCAGATTCATTAAGACGAGGTCAAAGTTTTCGCCAAATCTGGTGGTGCTACATGGACGAGGGCTTGGTCCTTGTGGTTCCTACTTCCGACGAATCTCATCGATCTGAACTTCCCGTAAATATGTTCAAGTGTTTTTATCAACAGGGCCAATGGCGCATCGGGGCGTCGTCGTTGCTGCCATACGCTCTGGGTCTTCGTCCCTTCAAAGACGTCTTTTGGAGTTCGCAGGAAAATGTCGACGCCATCTACAATGACTGTGAAGTCGTGACGAACGATGATCCGCTGACGAACATATATAATTATAACGGAAACATTAACATCACTGGTACGTCAGATACAAGTAACTTCGTACACAAGAAGATTCGACCACGGATTTTGTTCCTTACCTAATCTAATCCAAACCCGATACAGCAGCGCCCGATACAGCCTAAGCTAAGCTAATACATTGCTAATACATATAATATATATATATATATATTATATATATATATATATATATATATATATATATATATATGTGTGTGTGTGTGTGTGTGTGTGTGTGTGTGTGTGTGTGTGTGTGTGTGTGTGTGTGTGTGTGTGTGTGTGTGTGTGTTTGTGTGTGTGTGTGTGTGTGTGTGTGAAGGCCTGGTAGCACAGTCGGGTTCGTTCTCGACGCACAATCGAGAATTCAGAGTTCGAACCCCGGGCGGAACAGAAATGGTTGGGCACATTGCCTTTCACCTAATGCCTCTGTTCACCTAGCAGTGAGTAGGTACTCGGGAGTTACCTACTGTGTACCGACGTGTCAGCTTGTTGTGGGGCTGCATCCTGGGCGGGGTCAGTAATTCGGCCTTGGGGGGGGAGGGGGGGGATGACCTTGATAAAAGTTAAAACGTGTATGAATACACTCTGGCTTCCTGTCCCCCGACACAAAGAATTATGAATTATACGGTTTAACAAACAGTGAGGACAAGGCGGGTGAAAAACACCTTGGTTTTAAGAGAATCACAAATTTGCAAACCAATCAACCAACTACATCACACTTGCATCTGTTTGAATTTATAAATTTTAAAACGTTTTAAATTCTAAATGTTTTAATTTATTTTAAAATACAAATTTACATTGTACACTGCCATGCAGGACAGGAGATAATTCATATGCAGTTACAAATACTAATATGGACACTCAAATTTAGGATAGAATGTTAGGCTGTGGCGTTTGGGTTTTAGATTTTCCGGTTAACTTTGTACGGATTACCTAAATTTACAAAAATAACTGTCTACGGTTCACATAATTCGTATTGCTTAGTTTTAGCATCTCTCTTTTCATTACTAGATACTACTGCCTTAGCAAATATACAAATTTATTTGCTAAAAAAAATATAAAAATAGGTTTCTGGAGAGTTTAACATGACTTGCTTACTATTTATAGCGTCTGGAAAGCCATGTGTACCCTGGAAAGACTTCGGGTGGGACGACCTCTACTACACCAGTACCTTGTTCGAGAACCTGTGTAGGAACCCAGATAACATCAAGGAAGGCGCCTTCTGCTTCACTAAAGCTTCATTTGGTGAGCTTAGGTCGTGTTTCTGCTGGCTGGCAGGCTAAATTGGCTGGCTGGCTAATTGGCTGGATGTCTGAATGGCTAAATTGGTTGGCTGGCTGACTGACTAATTGGCTGGCTGGCTGGTATGCTGGCTGGTTAACTAGGTGATTGGCTGGCCAGCTAATTTGTTAGCGGGCAGACACAGAATCGTTTAGAAAAGCTAATATTAATTACGTCGTTGATAATATGTGAAGTGGTTTTTGCTTACTTAATAAAATGATTAGTGGATTGTTACACTGGTGATCTTCAATGTCGGTAATTGAGACATTGAGCATAGCATATATTTACCAGCCATGTACGGGCACCTGCCATATTTAATAAGTTTTCAATAATGTTTTTCTTCATTGTGGGTTTATTTAACTTTCATTTTCCATCACTGAAACGCTCCAACAATGTACTTCCTGTATTCAAGTTTTGCTAGAAGTTTTATTATTATTATTATTATTATTATTATTATTATTATTATTATTATTATTATTATTATTATTATTTTCTACCACAGACGTGGCCACACATTTACAATGCTAACCAGCATATATACATTTTCTTCTGTCCTCCATGGACAGGGTAAGAGATGTGTTAAACATATAGTTCAAGGGTTTATTGAACAATCAACCACAGAAGGTGATACGGTGCTTTTAAAATGCTAAGCTTTGCTAGAAGTGACAGGCGAGTGGTCTGATAATCCTGATCTGTATTTTCCTTAGATGTGCCGGAGGAGGAGTGGGAGTGGGAGTACTGTGACGTGCCCAAGTGTGAGCTGGACTGCTACACCTTCAACGGCATCTTATACCAGGGTGACCAGAACGTGACCCAGAGTGGCCAGGTGTGCGTTGACTGGGCCGGTGAACACAATATCCACGGTGCTGTGTGTCGCAACCCCAACAACGACGCTGCGCCGTGGTGTTACGTGACGGAGGACCACTTGGAGAAAGACTTCTGTAACAACAAGTGTCTTGAGGCCGTGGAACTCAACTCGTATCTGCAGGGAGCAGTATCGACGCTGAGTGGCGGACCTGTAGGCGTTGGCGACAAGGCCCAGAACCTTAATGTTCAACTTATTATGAAATCTTGCAATGCCGAGGGACGTTTGTTGCAGCCGACAAAACCCCTGACGGTCGTTGACGGTTACTTCTTCTCGTCTGACTATAGAGAAGTATGGACGGGCTACAGCACCATAGGAAATTATAACTTCGGCATAATTTTCCTGGCAGAGGTCGATAAAGCACTGCAAATGACTCCTTCAGAGCTGAACTTAGAAAATGCCTTCACCACAAAAACCTTCTTGTTCAGTAATTATCCCGAGAACTCGACGTACACGCACGACGTATCTTCTGGCCAGACCATTGATCTTCCTGCCTGTGGGGGCTTCCTTAATTTCTGTCTCATCTACACGTCACCGGCCTTCCAGATCAATACAGGAGAAATCTTCATCTTGGGTGAGAGGGAGAAGTGGGCGCCTGTTTCGCCTGAGAGGTTGTCGGAAATCACAGAATCTCCCTCGTCACTCACGGTTGTCGTCAGTGGTGTTCAGGGAGAGGCTGTCACTATATCCTTCCTTGACCAGACTATTTTCACTGTGACCTGTAACTTTACAGAGACAGGCACTATGATCATTGACACCACAGAGCGCACCTGTCAGTAACACCACAAGGAGCGTCCACCAGTAACACCACAGGGAGTGTCTACCAGTAACACCACAAGGAGCGTCTACCAGTAACACCACAAGGAGCGTCTACCAGTAACACCACAAGGAGCGTCTACCAGTAACAACACAAGGAGTGTCTACCAGTAACACCACAAGGAGCGTCTACCAGTAACACCACAAGGAGCGTCTACCAGTAACACCACAAGGAGCGTCTACCAGTAACACCACAAGGAGCGTCTACCAGTAACACCACAAGGAGCGTCTACCAGTAACACCACAGGGAGCGTCTACCAGTAACACCACAAGGAGCGTCTACCAGTAACACCACAAGGAGCGTCTACCAGTAACACCACAAGGAGCGTCTACCAGTAACACCACAGGGAGCGTCTACCAGTAACACCACAAGGAGCGTCTACCAGTAACACCACAAGGAGCGTCTACCAGTAACACCACAGGGAGCGTCTACCAGTAACACCACAAGGAGCGTCTACCAGTAACACCACAAGGAGCGTCTACCAGTAACACCACAAGGAGCGTCTACCAGTAACACCACAAGGAGTGTCTACCAGTAACACCACAAGGAGCGTCTACCAGTAACACCACAAGGAGTGTCTACCAGTAACACCACAAGGAGTGTCTACCAGTAACACCACAAGGAGTGTCTACCAGTAACACCACAGGGAGCGTCTACCAGTAACACCACAAGGAGCGTCTACCAGTAACACCACAGGGAGCGTCTACCAGTAACTCCACAAGGAGCGTCTACCAGTAACACCACAAGGAGCGTCTACCAGTAACTCCACACGGAGCGTCTACCAGTAACTCCACAAGGAGCGTCTACTAGTAACACCACAGGGAGCGTCTACCAGTAACACCACAGGGAGCGTCTACCAGTAACACCACAGGGAGCGTCTACCAGTAACACCACAAGGAGCGTCTACCAGTAACACCACAAGGAGCGTCTACCAGTAACTCCACAAGGAGCGTCTACCAGTAACTCCACAAGGAGCGTCTACCAGTAACTCCACAAGGAGCGTCTACCAGTAACACCACAAGGAGCGTCTACCAGTAACTCCACAAGGAGCGTCTACCAGTAACTCCACAAGGAGCGTCTACCAGTAACACCACAAGGAGCGTCTACCAGTAACTCCACAAGGAGCGTCTACCAGTAACACCACAAGGAGCGTCTACCAGTAACTCCACAAGGAGCGTCTACCAGTAACTCCACAAGGAGCGTCTACCAGTAACACCACAAGGAGCGTCTACCAGTAACACCACAAGGAGCGTCTACCAGTAACTCCACAAGGAGCGTCTACCAGTAACTCCACAAGGAGCGTCTACCAGTAACTCCACAAGGAGCGTCTACCAGTAACTCCACAAGGAGCGTCTACCAGTAACTCCACAAGGAGCGTCTACCAGTAACTCCACAAGGAGCGTCTACCAGTAACTCCACAAGGAGCGTCTACCAGTAACTCCACAAGGAGCGTCTACCAGTAACTCCACAAGGAGCGTCTACCAGTAACTCCACAAGGAGCGTCTACCAGTAACTCCACAAGGAGTGTCTACCAGTAACTCCACAAGGAGCGTCTACCAGTAACTCCTCACAGTATTCTATCCAGAGCACTTATTAGTGACAAATAAAATCCTTAACAAGACATATTTTCAGTTATGTTTAGTATAAGTTGTCAGTGATACAAGACAACAACTTACAGTAGTTGTAAATCATAACTACTGCTGATATATAACACCAGAATGTTATTGGTAATAAAATATAATATTTCATATACACTCACCATTCCTCCATGGTGCTACATAGCCTTCCCGGCTCGGTGCCTTCTTTTGATAATTACGTTACATTCATCATTCCTCCTTAGAATGATTTTAAGGGAATGACCTCCCTGATTTTAAGGATGATCGTAGGTCTTGCTTTCCCAATGTCTCTGCGTCGCCTCGATAAAACCCTTGGGGAGTGTGATGCCGTTGGCGTTACTTGTCTTGTGTGTTTAGCAAAGTTTGTGTGTGTAGTACTGAAAGCAGTACTGCAGTACTATGTAGTACTGAAAGCAGTACTACATAGTTTTCTCGGTTTGGTGCTTTATGTTAATTACTTTTCCTTAAAGCAAAAGCTCCAAGGTGTGTGGCACGTCTCTCCTCCTTCACAGTTATACAAAAGTGTCACTTTATTATACAAGATCATTAGGGAAATATACGGTAGTATAGGAAGCAACAATGCTTTTGGATAAATTACAAAATTTAGGAACTAAAACAAATTGGCCAGTTAAACTTTTAAAGGTCAATTTATATACGGGAAAATATTATAACTTAGCAATACTTTATAAACTAATGAATTCCAAATATTATCAACCATAGGGGAGCCGGTCGGCCGAGCGGACAGCACGCGGGACTTGTGATCCTGTGGTCCTGGGTTCAATCCCAGGCGCCGGCGAGAAACAATGGGCAGAGTTTCTTTCACCCTATGCCCCTGTTACCTAGCAGTAAATAGGTACCTGGGTGTTAGTCAGCTGTCACGGGCTGCTTCCTGGGGGTGGAGGCCTGGTCGAGGACCGGGCCGCGGGGACACTAAAAGCCCCGAAATCATCTCAAGATAACCTCAAGATAACCATGCACTCGTCAACGTGTTCATAAACCTACAGCTCTTACAATGAATAAAATGTATGTTTTAAAGATTAAATGAATGCATGCTAAAGGAGGGTTGCTGGGATCTATCCAGTAGGTGTTGTATTGCTCTTGTTCCTCCAGTGGAAGATAAAGCGTGTTATATCATTATTTCATTTAGTGTGATGCTGAGCAATGCTAACTCCATAATGACAGTGGGGCGAGGCGTGTGATTTTCTAATTATAGTAAGAGAGCATATAGAAAGTGCTGGTGTCGGGTAAGAGCTCCACTTGAAAATTAGAGGTTGTAGTCTCGCGTGACGCGTGAGGTCGGACGAACTGTGGTGAGGGGCCTAATGTGACGTGTGGGGTCGGACGAAGTGTGGTGGGGGCCTAATGTGACGTGTGGGGTCTGACAAACTGTGGTGAGGGGCCTAATGTGACGTGTGGGGTCGGACGAACTGAGGTGAGGGGCCTAATGTGACGTGTGAGGTCGGACGAACTGTGGTGAGGGGCCTAATGTGACGTGTGGGGTCGGACGAACTGTCGTGAGGGGCCTAATGTGACGTGTGGGGTCGGACGAACTGTGGTGAGGGGCCTAATGTGACGTGTGGGGTCGGACGAACTTTGGTGAGGGGCCTAATGTGACGTGTGAGGTCGGACGAACTTTGGTGAGGGGCCTAATGTGACGTGTGAGGTCGGACGAACTTTGGTGAGGGGCCTAATGTGACGTGTGGGGTCGGACGAACTGTGGTGAGGGGCCTAATGTGACGTGTGAGGTCGGACGAACTGTGGTGAGGGGCCTAATGTGACGTGTGGGGTCGGACGAACTGTGGTGAGGGGCCTAATGTGACGTGTGAGGTCGGACGAACTGTGGTGAGGGGCCTAATGTGACGTGTGCGGTCGGACGAACTGTGGTGAGGGGCCTAATGTGACGTGTGGGGTCGGACGAACTGTGGTGAGGGGCCTAATGTGACGTGTGAGGTCGGACGAACTTTGGTGAGGGGCCTAATGTGACGTGTGAGGTCGGACGAACTGTGGTGAGGGGCCTAATGTGACGTGTGCGGTCGGACGAACTGTGGTGAGGGGCCTAATGTGACGTGTGAGGTCGGACGAACTGTGGTGAAGGGCTTAATGTGACGTGTGCGGTCGGACGAACTGTGGTGGGGGGCGTAAACACCTAACCTAACCATGCAATGCCTAAATATACACAGTATGGTAATATATAACAATTGTAATTTATATTTGAGAACATTCCTGTTCTGAATGAACAGCATGTTAAAATTGATGAAATGCGTCTTTGGGGTCGACCGCTGGATGGAATGGACTTGGTCCGAGGACAGGTTGTTGTAAATGTTTCCCTCACGTACTAACATTACAAATAATGACCAACAGAACCTAAACACCTAACCTACGCCTAACTATACATAGAATTTAACGAATAGTAATAATAATTTATATATGAGAAGAAACATTAATAAACAATACGTTATAATTAATTAACGTCTTGGGGGGGGATGGCCGCTGAATTAACGAGCCTACCCTGTGGACAGGTTGACGAACAGCAATTATCGCTAAACAAACCCATCACCATTTAACAAGTGAGCAAGAGGTTTGCCAATATCAGGAACTATAATTATTATTACATCAAACTCGGCTCGTCAGTGTGTGTCGAACAGTTGAAGAGTAGGGAGCGCTGTGTCTGGCTCAACCAGACTGTTGGTCTACTTTGGGCTCTCCACCCATAGTCAGCCTCGACAGTGACATGAAGCCGGTGAGTTGTTAAAGGTTTCCCTGTTATTACTGAGCTTTTTCCAGTTTGTTCACCACAGCCCCTCTCCTTTGCCAGGTAAGTCCACTACGGGCTCGCCATAGCCCGTGTTACTTGGAACGTTTTGTTCCTAGTAGCTGAATCTAAAACAAACAAGATCCAGTTTGTGACTGTTCTTGTACCTGGTGAGGCATTTTACCTTCATCAACATTGCATTCTACGTGAAACAATTCAGTCGCTATAACACTAACGTCTGTTAAATGTGATTTGTAAGAACAGGCGAGTTTTGAACACTATTGTGTTGTGTAAGAGTTTTGTGAGTACTAAGGCTACGTAGTAATTAATTATTATGGGAAAGCGCTAAGAATGTATAACTATAGCACTTGGCTGGGATATAAAGACAAGAAGCAGAGAAATTTGGACCGAGTGAAGGAGCAGTGCCCATCCACTTGGACCATCGGGGATCGAACACCGACCTGCTGGAAGCAAGGTCACTACCTAATCGACCAATCCATGCGGATGAGCTCGAGTACCGACCTGATAGCCATTGAATTTACTGGTGCTAGTGCATATACAAAGTTGATGCCAGTATCCCAACTAACGATGTCTTTATTAAATAATATTCAATATATAGTTAATATTTGCATAAACTTACTAGGGAAAAGTACTACATGTATATATAGTTTATATAATTCTCAGTAAACCAATTTTTCATATCACTAACTGGTAGGAAAGTAACATGAGGAATGAACCACCATAGAAATTGGGTTCTGGACGTTAGCCATAAGTGACAATTTTTTTTTGTTAACACGTAAAAGATCCTCATTGGTAATCTTAATCTACTGTGTATTAATACGTGCGTGTACTATGCACTTCTGATCATGTTCACTGACACCTTGAGGCACAACCTAATCTGTCCAAGGCCCGAGTTACACTATTCTATTCACAAGGTCAACAAAATATTTACTCTTATACAAAGTGGTTCATTGTTTATATTCTCTTATACAGCCTCGTATAGTATTTTGACACTGCAACAACGAACTAAAGAACTAGCATTCTACAGCTGTATTTAATAAATAAAGTGCTTCTCTGCTGCCAACAAATAGAAAGGCGTATTTTTCTTCTTCAGCTGATGTATCCAAACCAACCAGAATAGCCTCCAATTCAACTTGAGTAGACGAAATAAAATTGTTCAGTCGAAGTCCAATTTTCCTGTCATCTGGGAAATAGCCAGTGTATTTCCTTGTCAGGACCCCCTCATCCCCAACATGCTGTCTCTTTCTCAACTTTTCACTTACAGTATACATTAGAATTCAAGAAACTACAAAAATCCTATTCGACCCACCCACCCTATTTGTAACCAAACTGATTTATATTCACTCAACCTATTTATACTCGACTAACCTATTTATACCCACTCACTATGGATGATTTATAAGCAAGTGGTAAATGAAGCTTGCACACATGTTTGCTTCTCTTAGATATTATAACATCTTCATCTTAAGGGGAATTAATAATGTTGTTAACTAGGCTTATTTTGCAACCTATTGTTTATTGTTTCTAAACAAATGGCGCGTCCTGTACCCCTGTGGTGTGTCTTGCGTCCTGTACCCTGTGGTGTGTCTTGCGTCCTATACCCTGTGGTGTCTTGCGTCTTGTACCCAGCGTTATGTACCCTGTAGTGTGTCCTGCGTCTTGTACCTTGCGCCCTGTACCCTGTAGTGTGTCCTGCGTCCTGTACCTTGCGTCCTGTACCTTGCGCCCTGTACCCTGCGTCCTGTACCCTGTAGTGTGTCCTGCGTCCTGTACCTTGCGTCCTGTACCCTGCGTCCTGTACCCTGTGGTGTGCCCTGCGTCCTGTATCTTCTTACGTGTGTCTTGGAGAAACGCCTTTATAATATATATAATATTTCAAGCATCGTTGACTACAGCTGTATAAAATATTAACGATAATATGAGCGGGAGCATTATACCCCCATGATCAGGTATAGAGAGATGCGTGACGGCTATGTATGTTGTTGTTTTAGATTCAGCTACTCAGAACAAAAGTTCCAAGTAGCACGGGCTATGGTGATCCCGTAGTGGACTTACCTGGCACAGGAGCGGGGCTGTGGACGGCTATGTACCCCCCATGTATAATCTAGGAACTTAAGGCAGATGTGGTGCCGCAATATGTCAGTGTTAAACTTAATAAAGCAAACTTTAAGCTGTTACAAGCAGAGGATCTCCTCGTAAACCAGTTTCAAAGAATATCACACATTCCGTTCCGCAGTGTGGCGGCGCACGTTGGCTTCAGCCTCGACCTCGCCTAATACGTCGCAATTTTAACGGAATCGACGATTTTTGCTAAGAAAACGATGTACAAGTAACAGTTGAAACAACGTGAAATTCACGT